AAGCAAAGAGCACGGAACACCAAAACAATGATAGCAAGTAAGAGGTTAAACATTTAAAGTTCCTATAATCTCACTTGTGGAGTAAGATGCATTTACAGGGGCTAGAGCATTTAATGCATTTTCAGAGGAGCAATAGGCATTAATTGAGCGAACAAATAATGAGAAAGAGTATAACATACGGATAGTTTGGGGTAAATTATTCCAGAGCCTAGAAAACTTACAGGCAAAGTAATTCATATAGAGAGAAGATCTAGAATATGTTTGTTTCGCTAAAGACAAGGAGTTACGAATGTCGTAATGTGGGGCTTTAGCATATTGAATCGCCTGACTGGATGTGAAGGAGAGTTTGTTAAGTATTTTGAAAAAGAAGATAAGGTTACGTTTGAGTCTCCTCATCCATAAAGGGTCAAGCCCTAGTTTACTACACCTCGAATTATATGTGAAGACACTATCAGTTCCAAGAGTACGAAATGTAAATCGTCTCTGTACTGATTTCAGTCCTAATTTATCTTTTATGCACGTGCTACTAAGGAGAAACGCGCAGTATTCGAGGAGTGGTCGAACACAGACTTTTTACATTAGAATACGAGATTTGCTGCTATGAAGGTTTCGAGTTATGAAACCTATAAGGCGTTGAGACTTGGACGTTCGTTTCATTATCTGTTCAGTAAACGACAAGTCGTCGGAGTACCTAAGTCCTAGATCTACTACTGTGTGTAACCTAGAAAACATTTCCTCATTTATGGTAAGATTGAGTTTGAGTGATGCATCACCGAAGCATAACCAACCACATTTAGCTGTATTGAGCTCCAGTTGCCATTTCGAGCACCACTGTGCTACCTTGTTAAGCTCCGTGCTGATACAATTTTGAATATTGCTCAGCTCATGTGGAGAAAATGAGTATACCACCTTAAGATCGTCTGCAAACAAAAGGGACTTACCCACACTAAAACGCTCACAAATATCATTAATGAAAACTAAAAAGAGCAAAGGACCTAAGACACTATCCTGAATTATCCCACTTCTAACAGGGACGGCATTCGACAATGAAGAGTTCATTTTAATTATTTGATGTCGATTGCTGAGGAAGGAATCAAACCAGGCTAGTAACGGGTTTTCGACCCCATAAGATGCGAGCTTAGCTATGAGAAGTTGGTGGTTGACCATGTCGAAGGCGTTAGAAATGTCCAGGTATAGCACTAATACTAGATATCCTTGGCTGCGAAGCGAATAGACTAAATTAAAGAAGTCAAAATGACATATCATACAGGATCGATTCTTAAGAAATCGATGTTGCGAATCATCAATAAATTGTTCAGTCAATAAATAGTTGGATAGTTCGTCACTAATAATTTTTTCCATAATTCTAGAGATAACTGGAGTAATATTTATTGGCCAATAGTTGTTCATGTCAGTCTTATCTCTGGATTTGTAACGTGGTATGATGTACGCGGTTTTCCAACGGTCAGGATAAGAGCCTGATTCCATAGAGAAAGTAAATAGCTTGAGGAGAAGAAGTTGGATATCGGGCTTTTAACCTATGTTTCTCTTTAATTTGATTGAAAATTATTGTTATTTGTGTGACTACCGTGAGGTCGTTAGATTCAAAATAACGTTTCTTTAGGCGTCTAAGTTTATTACGATATTTAGCTGGTATATATAATTCGTAATGTTTACTAATCCTGTAAGTCTTAATTGGTGCACAGGAGTCTAGACAAGAGTTAACAATGAAATAGAATATATTGATGGCATTTGTCAGACTATTACATGAGAAGAATTCATCCCAGTCTGAGAGTTTGATCAGTGAACACAAGAGGTCCCAGTCTGCATGCTTATAGTCTCTATACTTGCAGGTTCTTTGAATTGGTCGGTTGTAGGAGGGATGGATGGGGAGAGCACAAGCTACTATCCTATGATCACTGCTTGCAAACTCGTTGTATACTTGTACAGATAGGGGAATGATATCTCTACTAAAAATTAGATCAAGTGTATTATCACCCCTTGTTGGGGTACGAACCCACTGTGACCAGCAGTACAGATTAAGGATTGATAAAAATTCATCATTGCTAGACTGACAGCTACCTGTACTCCAGTTAATCCCAGGATAATTGAAATCACCAGTGATAATCTTAGCGCTGAAGTTTAGAGTAGATGCATGTATAAATCCATTGATAATACGATCATCCAAATTATCAGTACTATCACGAGCTCTATATATACAACCTAGGAGTAGACTATGGTTTGGGGTATTGATTGATATCCAGATCGATTCTGGTAAACTATTCAAGATACTATCTTCAACTTTGTTAGTTGTTAAGGTATCCAAAGCAAATATAAGACAACCGCCTCCTCGCTTAGTTTCTCTGTCACAACGATAGAGTCAATAATTTTGAATATTTAATTCGGAATTGGCCACTGCTGGATAACAACACGTTTCAGTGATAAGTATAAAAGAAGGCTTGGCTAGAAAGGCTAAGGTTCTCAAGGCTGAGATTTTGTTCACAAGTGAACGTGCGTTAATAAGTAATAAGTTTAAAAAGGGAGTGTGTAGTGTAAAAAAACCGAGAGCATCCTTATCGATGGTATGAGTTCTAGCTATGCCTGAACTATGGTTTAATGTGTTTGCCGGATCGCATGGGCTATAGCATGAGCGAATTGTAGTGCTAGTGGAACAAGGGATCTCTGGAGGCCGAAAAAATCCTTATTTTGGTAAGGTTGAATAATTTGTTGTACTTGTTTTGGTGGACAATTAAGATAGGTGCCTGCATGTTGGGGTTGCGTTGATGGTGCATAACCTAGTATACCATCTTCCCCACTACAGGAGTGATGATAAGAGTTACATCTTGCAGGTTTATTATTTATAACATTTGGGGGAAACCATGGGGCACGTTGGTTTATTGCCGTCTGTCTAATAGTAGGCCTGCTTACATGATGGTTGTAGTGGCCGTCTCGTGTAACGTTTGAACGACATATGTCCTTATAACCTCCCTTACGATGAGTAGGGTTAAGCATAGTTTCAGAAATTATACTTTTGTTTGGTAAAGCAGTTGAAATAATTTTGGTAATCGGTTTAGAACTAGGTTTTATATTTACTTTCTTCTTAATTGGTATATTCTTTCTAGGTTTAGCAGTGTTTTTATAAGCCTTCACAATAGAGTCAGGTGTTCGATCCTTGGCTTCCGATATTACACTGGAAAGAATGACATTAGAGTCTCCATCAGATATGTCCTGGTTATCTAGGGCCACTAAAGGTATGAGAGGCAAACTAACACACTGCATTGGTATATCAGTACACTGACTAACATGAGATAAATTAGCTGCACCCGTGGGTTCAGATGCTGGCGCGATCACATTTGTTGTGACCTCAACAATGTTATTTTCGTTTATGGTACGCTTTTGTGTTAATCTTTGATTGGTGGCTTTGTCTGAGATTATACGAGCGCTTTTAAACTTCGTATGCGCACAGACTAGCTGTTCAGATTCTATCAAACGTTCCGCTAATAAATGGGAATCGAATCTAAACAAGATAGGGCACGAGTATTTTTGATGCTTTTTGTTAATTCGGATACATTGACATGGACTGTACTGGAGGTTAGCTGCCGTACGTACCGCAATCGATGACTGTTGAGCTCATGTGGTCTTCAGAGTCTAATTCTCATACACTAGCTTTCTGTCTCCGAGACCAATCCAGATACTCAATCGGGTAGGAAACTGTGTTGTCTGAAACTGAATCTAATTGAGTTTATGTGTACACTCACATGTATTAAGCATCATTCTCACTCCTATGAATAGGTCACATTACCATGAGATTGTGTGTACTTGCTTGAAAATGAAGTCGATACTTTGCCATTGTTCTATGTCTATCTGTTACACTATATCCAACTGGTCCAGTTTATTATGAACGACAAGTTACCATGTCACCGGTTAAGGATGTCACTTTGGATGACTTTCTGGTATTAGACTATGTAATTGTATTGTTGAGTGGAAAAAAAACTCGAGCATGTGCTAATTACAAGTTCCATCTTTTAGTCAACTACTGTGCAGTCTCCAGTTGAGCTGTTGTGAGTCGGATTAAGTGCCTGATATAGCAATATCTACAGTGCATTCGTACACATCTAAATTCAACCCACTTTACATCAACGCGTCCGCACTAGGAAAGTGGAGAGGCTCAAACTGTGCTAACGTTATCCCATCGACCTGGACATTTGAAGTTATCCTCATAGTAACACGTACATTATGGTGGTACCTACCATATCTAGAACGATCCACTAGATTAATGTGGGTCTTTGAGTGGCTCAGTCGGTTTTGTAAGGATCTATCTATTTACTTCTGAACAAGTAAGTGGCTTACATTCATTCATGAAACTTCAGAAATATAATTTCCTGCTCATTAGGATATAACAAGAATGTATTTGTCATTAACTTTCTATCCAATGCTCAATTTATTTAAAACTATGATGTTCAACCTTGGTATTGATACCTATCATATATTCTAGATTTCTCTCCCTAAACAATAACATACCTTTCAGTGTGGATCTCGTTGATTTCTCAACACGGTGTTATTTTTAATTGACAAATTCAACCAAACCATAGAGTTTTTCATGTCCAACGTTTTACTGTCAGTTTAACTCCTTTACTATTTTATTCGATTCCCAGTTTTTCTTCTTTACAGAATTCGAGTATTATAATGTGTATTACTAACTTCAATAGGATGATGGTTGGAAGTGGTCAACAGGAAACCCTGGACCAGCGTTTCGTGCTACTTGGCACTCATCAGCAAGGTGTACCTGTTATCTTAAAGGAACTGGTGCTCCCTGACGGATTCGTTCCCGAGTCACCTAGCTTCACAATCAGAGACGTTACCACTGAGCTATTCGGGTAACCACCAACCTCCTGTAGTACTGAGATGTAATCACAATCCGACCAGCACTAAGGGTGACTTGACACGCATGAAATTGATCACCACCAAGTTTTCAATCAATTGTGACTAACTTTCAATATCCAGGAAATATACAAACATTAAAATTGTTTTATTATACAACATTCTGCAAATATATAAATGTGTTAATCTTTTGTAAGAAATAGGACTGAATATCTGTTCACAATCAAGCTAGAGTATTTCACTCCATTTTTAGTTCACGAATATCATTGTCATTACGTCCAATAAATCGAAGAATTCCATAACTGACAAGAGTGAATATAGTTACCAGTCCCCAACTTATAAGATAAACAAGATAACGATAAACAGTAGGAATTTTGTCTAATTTAGGATATGGACTGAATTGCAACGCAACAATTGAAACTTCCATACTATAAAGAAATGAAAATAAACATTTGATATGCATCAATTGAAAGTGATAACTATATGCAAATCAGTTCATTTACCCTTAATCATGACGATGATGATGACTTGGATGACGAAGATGATGATGATGGTGAGGATGATTTGGATGACGATGATGATGATGTTGATGATGATTTGGATGATGATGATGATTTGGATGACGATGATGTTTTGGATGATGATGATGATTTGGATGATGATGATGATTATGATGATGATAATGATGTTGGGAGATATTAACTCACTGAAGACAATTGTTAATGGTTGCTCAATTTCGTGGATCGTTTGAAGTTGGACATTAAAACCGTTGGGTACTGCCTCGGCGGTCGGTTAAGTGCTCTGGCGCGAGAGTGGTAAGTCCTGCTTTCGAATCTCGTGAGGCGGGATCGTGGATGCACACTGCTGAGGAGTCCCACAATAGGAAAAAACGGTCGTCCAGAGCTTTTAGGTTTTCCATGGTAGTTTAGCTTCAATTGTCTCATGATCTCAACTCTATAAACATTATTTTCTGTTTTCTACTTTACACTTACACCTTACCTATTACATCATTTCACTAATTGATATGCATAGTACCATATTAGTCTAATAAAGAAACTTCATTATTTACAAATTCTTTCAATTATATCAGTTTGTTAATGACTATAGTATGGTGTCAGTTACTATGTTAAGCTCACCTAAGTTCTTTTGGCTTCTGGACAAGTCAATTTATTCATTCACACAATTTGACATTGTCAATTATTCTCTTATCAACCTTGACCATTTCTTATATCAGCATATATGTGTGTGTGCACTTCATATTCTAACCATCACATATCTGACTATGAAAATCAATTCACAGCGGATTATATCGAGATGGTTCACATGCCTTCTTCACTAAGTGTCATCGCACTTCGTTCACTTCAATTAGCTTTCTTCGCTTCATTTCTTCAATCGTTTGTCTGTATCAATGATTGTATTAAATACACGTATACGAACTTCATTCTCGTATTTGACTTATTCAACTCCGGTATTCACTAATGTGAGTTCAGTCGACAATTATATGCAACGATTGGTGACATGTATATTCCGATAACAATCATACAAACGATCTAAGTAGATAAAGATATCGGATCACTAATCTGATGAGATCGTCGATAACATCATCCGATCCGCTTGGCGTCAAAATGAAGGACCTCATCAAAGTATCAATAAAATATCAACTTAATTACCAAACCAAGACTGTTGGATGTTTCTACTCTGACAATCGGATAAGTCTCTTGTGAAACTCGCACTGTTATCAAATGCCAATAGTAATAGACTGTACTCCCTACTTCGTGTAGAAATGAACATTCCAGTTCAACGTGTTCATTTATGATTGCCTGATGTGAATGTACATCAGTGTCCGTGTGTGTGTGTGTGTGTGGACACAACACCACCAATTGAATCTTCCTAAGCTGCATTTCTACTCAATCATATCACTACTTCATGAATTCTGAGAGTATAATATCGTGCGATACGTGCTTAGTTTCGTTCATTCTCATTAGTCCATATGCAAGATGAAATGGTGGTGACGAGTAGATCAACCGAATTGAAGTTTAGGCACGGAACATTGAAGTGTAGACGTCAAAAATAACCCATGTCAAAAAGGAATATTGAAATAATTTTATTTCTATATTGACTTACTAGATATTGTAGACTGTCATCAGTATGTAACATACAACAAATGATTTCCACAATAAGACAGATTTCGGTCGACATATAAATGCTTCGAGTAATGTCACTACTGCTGGAATGATATGCTGTTGTTTAGAAGAGTAAATAATAATGCATATATTAATGATCGGATTGAATATACTACTTAGAACAATAAGAACATTGATACTAAGTATAGTTTAGATCGAGATTTCAGTAAGACTGTCAATTTCGATTAGATGAATGATTGACCATTATTGATTAACTTAGATCATGTTTCAGTACTCATGAATCAAGTATTTGTTCCTAAGTATTCTCAATTGTTCCAACTGCAAAAAAACAATACATCAGACAAAGCGGACAACCTATTCATCTTCGTCTTCATGAACATCAATTAGCGATCAAACTCCATGACATATCTTCGCTTACATCAATGCTTGTGAACAACTATGGACACACATTCAACTGAAAAAATGTTGAGATCTTGTATAGAGGCAATTCTAAAAACAACCAGAGAATTTTTAGAAACTTGGCACTAAAGTCAATCAACAATCGGTTAAGAGCTATGGCGCGAAACTGGTAGGTCCTGGTCCTGGTCCGGCCGTCAAGCAGTGCTACCAGGTTTTCCATGATGGTCTAGCTTCAATTGACTCATCATTTCAACTATGACAATCAACAAATAACAAACACATTGAAATATATCCATTTTATCGACCGATAACAATCAAATCAATGGGAGATACAATCAAAATAAAGATGAAGACAATGATAGGTTAAAGGTCAACAATAACCAATGACGATCAAGGTCTACAGGACAAGCTGTGAATCATTTACGGAGAAATGCGAACACTTCACTTCTACCTGCGGTTTATACTGATGTTGTCGTTCAGAATAACAATGTTAGCTCCATAATCAAAGCATACAACTCAGAGAACAGAAACTCCACCAACATCAATTATTTAGTCGACATTTGGTTTAACTTTGTAGCTTATGTTACCCTAGTGAGAATGTCCGTTAACATTGTAATAATGAATATTTGATAAACCATCCCTGTCCCATAAATCTTTAAACATCTCAACTGATCAACACTAGATATTATATTGACATTATCTGATGTCAATTAGATCCTTTGATTCAGAACTGAATCTTTATCTGTCCAGTCTCCATGAGTTGACTAGATTTCTGTTCGAGAAATGTTCAATGTTTCATGCATTTCAGAGAATGATTTTATAGAATGACTGCGGAAAAGAGGAAGGCCAAAGAACAAATTACGCCGGGAAATAGAAGCAGATATGAAAATGATAAATAATATATATATATATATATATATATATATATATATATATATGAACATGTATGTATACATGCACTTATATTACAAATATATCAATAATTACACATTCATTTCAAGCTTACACATGTATGATTGAACCATAATGGCATATTCTTCAATTCTGGATTCTCGGTAGCCACAGTATGATCAACAATGAGTACAATGAAATACATCACAAGTATCGTCTATTGTTTTCAAATGAATAAAAAACATATGAACAACAAGGAATTGAATCACTTACCCAAGCATAAGTAAATGAAAGTACATAGAAATAGCTGTGTACCGTATATTGTTTACACATTAGGAGTAATGTAGAATTGACGAAATAGACTTGTATCATGGTCTATATTGTGAATAAGATGAAAGTGGATGGGGAGGGGGAGGGGAGAAAAGTAACAAATATTATGTAAGATAAACTTACCATTGTAATAAATGTGATATATTTGAATAGTACCAACAAATTCATAATGTTGAATGATTGACCTGGATAGATGTATTTATAGCCATCAACTGTGATGGTTATGAATATTCCCAATACAATAATATGATAGATGACACCAATGATTCGTCTTATATCAGTTTTCTGTAGCATTTTTGATGGAGAATAGCAAGATGCTAGTTGATTCACTTTAAATGTTTACTCTGCTATAATTCAGTATATATATATAACTAAATGCTAAGAAACTATCATTCATACTTTTGAATGTACTATAATATTTATGTCAGAGGTACATATTTTACACATCATAGTTGACCTTTAATTAAAGGGTACACAATGATGTACTCACATTTTTTCAGCGGTTTCTATTCTAAGTAGTTTATTTATATGCTTAATGCTATAAGTAACTCATCTTACTTGGTAAACCGGCCTATGATTCATTGGTAGTAACAGGCGTAAGTTACTTGATAAACAGAACGAAAGTCAAAGACATAATGACAGAATAAGCTATTCTAATCCGTTGTCTACGACCCTACTAATGAGATCAAGAAGTCTTGATGAAGCATGGGGTATGCATTCTATAAGCACTCAGAAAATACGAAGTCATTAGGCATACAAATCAAACTTATTTATACAATGATAGAAACGCCCTCGGGAGATCTACAAAATAGTATACTAAAAATATCCGTAAGCCAATGACAGTCAAGGAATTCCGAGCGGGATATGTAAATTGTAGGTCGATTAAGCATCTGTTGGCGCGAAAACATGAAATTCAAATTTTCAGAATTAAAATACAAAATTTGGACCATTTCCAATTGAGTTACGGGGGATCGAACGTCTTCAAAGTTTATAAATTTGTAATGAAAATCAGAATAATTTTTTTTAATTATTTTGTAACTTCTCATATTATCACACTTATCAAGGTTTGGTGTTTTGAGTTTAATCAACCGTTTTAAATCATTTCTGATGTCTAAGTCACCAGTCATTATTAATACTTATTACTATTATTGTAAGCAAAGATGGATAGTGGCTAGCAATGGAATCCAGTTTCACACGCGTTTCGTCCTATTTGAGACTCGTCAGCTGGATGTACCAGCATCTCAGAGTTGATGTTTACTGTGAGACTCTAACTCAGTACATTTCTTTCGAATCCCAGAGTGAACATCAACTATGAGATGCAGGTACATCCAGCTGACGAGTCCCAAATAAGACGAAACGCGTGTCAAACTGGATTACACTACTAGCCACTATCCATCTTTGCTTATAATGCTTGTGAATTAAAGCTAATATCGAGGCAATACGTACAGTACGCACATATGCCAATTAGAAATTGACCAGTTGCAGTCCTAACACATCGTTGGGAAGATTTAAACAAGTAATAGTAAGTGAATGATTATAATTGTTAGAAGAGGGTTTTGCGGAGATTTTAGTAATTGCATATAGTTGAAATCATGAGTCGATTGAAACTACACCACTATGGAAAACCTGGAAGCACTGCCCGGTAGTTTTGTCTTATTTTGGGACTCTTTGGCAGTGCGCATCCACGATCCCACATTCGCAAGATTCGAACGCAGGACCTACCAGTCTCAACTAAGAAAATTCTCTATTAAAATTTTCCAAAACAAAAATACACATTTTTATTATCATTTCGAAAGAATTTTCATTATTATTCATTTAAATCATTCATGATGCTAAGTTATATTATAAAAGGTTCCCAAATGCCCTGATACGGTTGACAGTGGGTAGGGGCCACCTTCCCTCTTTAAATGCTCTCACATGCCCACGCGTATATAACCTCTGTCAGGGAAGTCCTACTCACTGACTTCTCGTGGCATTACTGTTGTTTATGAAATTGAGAGGACGAAAAGCGAACATCCGGCTCTTTAACCAGGTTGGTGGACACGGAGGATCCACCTAGGGGAGTTGGAAAACCCTGATTCCAAACCAATGGTGCATATGGGCTCCAGTATCCTGAGGGAACAAATGGCGTATGAATCAATCGTTGGTCACTGGCCACCATGGAACTGTATCTCCTCACGATGCTCCACTGCCTTGTGGATCTTATTTTCAAGTCGAAGGCTCGGGATGTGGCCCCCTAAGAAAACCACCTGTTTCAGTTTGGATACCTGGTCAGTATCACAGCCCTCATACAAATCAAATGAGATTAGTGAGGTGCATATGTATCTGGTGCTTTCTTGTACCAATATTTATGTGTTTAAATAAATAAATAAATATTATAAAAGAACATTCCATCTTAATTGTAGGTTAGATTCTTTATGGAATCAGGTTAATTAGGTGTACAATTGAAAAAAACTAAAATGTTTTAAACAAATATTTCATATCAAATTAGTGGGTGTTTAGCAAGATGTTTCCATAAATTCATCAGAGATAGAATCTATAAAGTTGAGATACTACAATGATTAATTGATGATTGGATCAATGGTATGGATTACAAAAGTACCTATATGAATATTAACACTGGGTTATAGATACATCGAATTGATAAGTCTCGAATAGGATGAAGTGCTTGACCTGGACTCTATTACTAGCCACTGTTTAATTTTATCTAAAAATCTTAACGAGATTACTTTACAGATTAATAAAGACTGTTTTTACTTTGAAACTACTTACTTACTTACGCCTGTTACTCCCAAGGGAGCATAGACCTCTGACCAGCATTCTCCAACCCACTCTGTCCTGGGCCTTCCTCTCTCGTTCTATCCGATTTTTGTTCATTCTTCTCATGTCTGTCTCCATTTCTCGATGTAATCTGTTCTTTGGTCTTCCTCTTTTCCTATGGCCTTCAGGACTCCATGTGAGGGTTTATCTTGTGATGCAATTGAGTGCTTTCCTCAATGTGTGTCCTATCCACTTCCAGCGCTTCTTCCTGTACTTTGAAACTAACTGTTCATTTTTATTATTGTTCTAGATTTATAATAGTAAACATTCTATACATCAAAATAACACTTCTCATAATCTGAGCTATTGAAATCACAGAAATTCCAACGTTTAGTCAGCAACCTCATGTAGTCTTCATCAAGGAAATATTCAAGAATCAAAACATTGTTGAATGACTACTGAAGCTTTAAGGTTAGTAAGCGGATTCGACTCTTAAGTGTGAAGTCGCTCATGCACACTGTTATGAAGTCTCATGTCAGGATGAAACGATCGTTCACTGATTCTAAATTCTGAACGGTAGATTAGATCATATCAATTCGTGATTTAATATATATCAAAATCATAATTACTTAAAAAATATGCAAAGTCTAGTAAACAAATCATGTTCAGATGTTGATTCATTTACATTAAGTATTATGTAAGTATGATGTGAAAGAACTCTGCCTGTAGTTTCGCTAGAGCTACTGACGGTCCCAACCTCTCACAAATAAGGATGGTTAGGAATGGATTCGGAAACTTAATCAAGTATGAATTAACCATGCTAAAATACGCCAAATAGTTTTAACAAATTAAACAATTTAAACTCAGCCTTCTCAGTTGAAAGAAGAGATATGACGCCTTAGAATGAAAACTAAAATTATTCGGAATTAAAGAGCCCAATAACCCTTCTAACAAACAGAGCGACAACTAATATAGGTACACAGAATGTCCGGACAATATGTGGAAACCGGGAAGACCAATCAAATAGCTACGTAAGTGAGGAGATACCAATTGGCAGTACTCGGAATCAATGAAACACATTGGACCCATTGTGGCACAATATTCCCTCACAAAGCTACATGGATC